TTATTAGAATAGGTTTTCTAAGTTAGTTTTTGCTTGCTGCTACTATTTTTGTCTTGTCTGTTTTTGGAAAAAGGAATCAGCGGAAAGAGTTGTAATGAGAACGACAATATCTGGTATTGAAGTTATAAAAAAAGAAACAAAACTTGATAAATCATTAGCTGGTACATATTTATTATCATATGTTTTTAATTTAATAGAATTTGATATAGAAGTATTAAAAAATAATGATGATAGTTATAATACAGATAGTTTTGCTAAAATAAAAAATACTATTATAAAATTCAAAAAAGGTGAAGAATTAAAACTTAAAATAGTTGATGTTGATAGACCAGAAATTCTTCCTATTTTAACTAATAGTAGTAAAACAACTAAACTAGTAAGATGTTTACTTACATATATTTTTTCTAAAAAACATATTATATTGATAATACCAAATAATGAATTAGTAGCAAATGCTGAAAATCATCATAATACCTGGTTACAAGATAGTAATGGTATTCTTTACAAATGTGTTATACATAGAAATCAAGAAGAATTACTATATATAGTAAAAAATAGAGAATTAGCATTATGAAATAAATTAACTAGATATAAAAAAGATAATAAGAGTAAACCTAATAAAAAAAACCAATATATTATAATAAAATTTACTAAAAACTATCAAGCTGTAGCAAATTTTAAAGTGATAAGGGTCGAGTGGAAGATCTTTTATTTAAAGGAAAATAAAATAAAAGAAAAGAAGAAATATAAAAATAAATAAAATAAATAAAAGCAACTAAAAATAAAGAATAAATATTTAAAAATGAAATTTAAATTCAATAGCCTCCTAGATACTATAAAGAGCTTTATGATAGGCTGGTTGTAGGCAAAATTTGACCTATTGTCCTTTTTGTATTAGCTGGGTTTAACAAATAGTTTATCCTGTACAAGGATTATCTGTGCTAGACTTAGAAGTATCCGAAAACACTAGAAGAGATGATTAGCAACAGATAACTAGGCTGTTCTAAACTATATATGGCTTTTTAAATTCCAATAACATAAAGCTAGTACCTGCTAGAGTACTATTCACAAATACAGCTATTACTTTATATTATTACAAAAAAGAAAAATAAAATATTCAATAATATAAAGCTAGTATTTGCCAAATAACTAATTAAGAAAACCAGCTATTCATTTTATATTATTATAAGAAAAAGAAAGAAAATTAAATAAAGAAAGATAATTTATAGAAGCAATAAGATAAAGAAATAGAATAAAGAATAGTTTTATAAATAATAATAGATAAAATAATATTTTATTAAAGAATTATTTGTATACAAAAAAACTTTTAGAGAATAGCGATCCTAGTATAGTGGTTGAGTTGTTATCTTCTAAGTGGCAGATCCAAGGTTCAAATCCTACCTATGATGAAATTTGATAATTATATCTGCATTATGATAAACTGTCTCTTGTCAATTAGTTGAATTTAGGTATTTGTAATCTTGGATACAACCAATTGGATTCTACTCATCATTAGGAGCCTAGAGCATCGATGCAAAATATAACATTATACATACATAAAGAAATGTTAATAACTGGTATTGTATAAGACTTCAGTGCAAACCTATGATAAGGCCACCAGATGTAGAAGACCAAGAAACCAAGAAGATGAAAGCCCACTTGGAAATTCTCAAGTAAAGAGTAGTACAAGCCTTTAATGGTGCTATCAGATTAATAGAAGTGCAGGAAACTCCAATAAGGAATAGGCAGACATGCAACCAGATGAAAAGATATATAGAGGAGCATATGACCAACCAGGCCACCAGAATCACCAGAGGAAAAGGATACTAAGGTATACCATACCAGGCTATCTGGATTGGAAGTCTGGAGAGTCTGTTGGATTCTGAGTTAGATAGTAGAGTGATGAAGAGAAGAAGTCAGAATGATAGATACCAGGGTTTGGATAAACTTTACAAGAGTAGAAATAGTGTAATGTAGCAGTTAAACAGATAACTCCTGTAACTGCAAGTGTTGGATAACTATAGCATGTTACATAAAACTAGGTCAGCTATGTGTAAGACACGAAAGGCTCTAGTAACGATGCTTCTGAGGATACATTGCATGAAATAAGATATGGGGTTCTAAGAAAAATGTGTAAAAGTATCTAGACCTTCTTGACTGACGGCTGTATCAGAGATGATCTAGTGACACAGTAAGGATTGCAGCACAGA